CTGTGAGTTTATAACTTTTCTGCATTTTTGCTACAATCTTTTTTAAATAAAAAGTGAGGATTTAGCCAAATTTTAACATACCCTGGAAAGATACATTTTGTTGAAAACTTCTTAGTAAACGTGTAATAATTTTTATTGTCCATCAAATTTTGTGATGGACAAAATGGTGGTATTTGAAAATTAATGTTGAAGTTCCCCAGCAGACCACTGAGGAAGAGCAGATATTAGAGAGGCTTGAAAGACAGAAGAAACCGATATGGACATTTACTGAGGATACAAATCCATTTTGAGGTGAACTCTGGTTTATAGTTATACACATATAACTCTGAAACTGTCCCAAAAAACCCTATATCATTCTATTTTATTCTAAAAAAACTCACCAACCTACTACATTGCATTCAGAGTGGTTTTTTTTAATAGAAGTGATTTAATTTCCTCTCATATTAAATGTTGATCCATTCAAAATATTCTTAAAAAAGAAAGAGAGAGAGTTACTGGGTCTTAATTGCTTGGGTTTTCTATGACTTGCTCCTCCATAAATAGCAGGCTTTAAAAAAATCACCCAGGTGTTCACTTCAAAAAATCCTTTCAAAAAATGGAAGATGTTAAACTGACAAGATATATTTTACCTTGTGTAAATTCACTTACTATATATAATTCATGAAGGCATACCGATACCCCATATTGCATTGTTGCTTTTGACAGTTATCACTGAAATTAAGGCCAGCCATGTTCAAAGACCACTGGGGACCCCAGTACAATCAAAGAAGATGATTCTTTCACAAGCACATCTTAAGAAATAACTTAAATGCAAACTTACTTGTAATACATTACATATGTGGGCTAATTCGAATGAATGAAGCATCTTTTGAACTTTCTAATATCATTGCTATGTTTGGTAAATTAGTTAATGAGTTGTCTTTTATGTTTCTTGCTGTGTCAACTGATAAAAAGATATCAATCTAGAAAAAACAATTCTTTATTAAATATGAAATCAGATACTTGCTTAATGAAGCTTTATCTTCTATTTGATGACTCATATTAAATATGTGATATGTCCAATCTGGTTCATTTGATAGATGTACAGAGAGTTAAATTTAACTTTGTTCTTACATTAGCAGTAAGACTTTGCAAGCTAGAGGGTTCTGCTTTTTTAATTATTCAGTTACTCAGTAGCAAGGCTGCCTCTACAAAGCCAACTGTTCACGTGTACTAACAAATGAAACACCATAATCTTAACAAGATTATCATAATAAAGAGTCATCAGAGAAATTAGAATTATCTTCTTTAATTACGAGATTATAATCCCATTAACTCCTTTGCATGAAAAATGGGAATTAGGGAATAAGGAAGGAGAATCCATAGTTGGCAATTAAAACTCCAGAGCAAATTAAAGGGAGGGTGGAGAAAAACATCCTACACGGATTTAGGTATTTCAGGTAATTTATTTAGTAGCATATGTTTGTTGTAGATTGCAAATTCTAAGCTATAACCACAGGAAGTATACTATTTTGGTTTTGAATTTTGTTTTTTCAGATTGCCTAAACAAGCAGCACCAAAAGCTACAAACTTAAAAGAAGGCCCTTATTTAAATATGCCTAGAGCTGTGAATTAATTAGGCCTAAATAAGTTATTAGAACAATACTGTCACTGATGCATTATTTATGGATAGTTGTTGAAAAGTTTGTAATCGCAAAAGTACTGAAGTGACATTTCCAAAGACATTAACATGAAAATGAGGAGAATCTGAAGAGAAAAAATTATTCAATGTGCAACCTCTTACTAAGATAGTCTTCAATAATGTATACAGCAACTACATTATTTTACTTCTAATATACACATGTAATATTCATAGGCCTGCTCTAAAGCTTTTTCAAATTAAGTTTGCAAGTTTAAATGAAAAAATAGACACCCAGTGATAGTAAAATTTATATGATAACAAAATTATATCCAGGCATTGTTGCCACATGCACAATAAATACACTAAGAACAAAATATCTTTCAAAGTTGTTATAGACCATACAAGTTTTAAAATAAATACTTACCCACTTTCTTACTGTGATATTAATATTTTATATTTTAGATACTCCAATATAATTATATTAAATTGTAGGTGATCTATACCTTTTGAAGATTAAATAAAACAGAAAAACAAGTGAATGAATTGTATTCAGTGAAGCATATTATTAAATATCAGCATAGCAGCAATTTTCTCTGTTTATATTGTAAAAAAGGATGATATTATGCTATTGTGTAAAAAGATCTTACTGAAGTTAGCTTCTGACAAAAGATTGTACAGAAATAACCCTTGAAACAATTCAGAAAAAGCAGTAGCTACAGCTAGTTATTGAAAGATAAGGCACACCAGAAGTAGGATGAGTTCACAAGACATTTATTATGTATTCAATTTCAAATCTTAAATGGTCAAGCTAGAAGCTTTTCATGATGCATTATGTATACTGTGTATATTAAGAAATAAAATCCAATCAGAGTTCTGCAGGGTCATGCATAACTCAAGCAGCTATGAAGAAAAACTGTAGTTTTTGTTAACATACATGGTAGTATTATTTACTTTGAAATTTCATGTGCTTTCCCCTAATATCAGGGAATGGGCATACTAAAATCAAGAAATCATCAGTGTTGTCATACAGAATAATTTCTATTTCATACTTTCAGAATTTTGCACTTCATTAGTTAATTACAGAAAGATCCAGAAAGGCCAAGGTATGATTCTAAGTTATTTGATTTCATAGCTTTTGGAAATGTCCCTGGGGAACTGGGAAGATTTCTTTCTTTCTCGATTCATTTTAAGGTATGTTTCTTAGGTTGTTCTCATCATGTGATAGTTTTGTTTCAAAACAAAACAAAAATTTGTTTCAAATTGGCTAAGGGAAATTCAGCTATATTCAGTCACCCTTTGTGCCTACTCAATATTCAGAAGCAAAGTGAATTACTCCATTGCCATATCAGGGATAGCTCCTGATTCAAGTAAGTCAGTATGTCATTGAATTCTTGTGACCAATCACTGGTTCAGTGATTAGTTTTGGTCAAGCAGATGTGAAGTCAGCTGTGGCGGCACACACCTCGGAAACATTTCCTTACTGTTAAGGTGAAGGAGGTGTTGGTACTGGAAGATACAATTTGAAGCGAAGTGAGTGCACTAAGGTGAGAGCAAAAGAATGGAAAGACCTTGTGTCCTTGAGGGCATCATTCTTGCCACTGATCCTTACCTGAAACTTCTTGTAATATAAGCAATCTATTTATTATTTTTTAAAAGATTTTATTTATTTATTATTTTAGAGAGAGAGAGCACACAAAAGCAGGGGGAGGGATGGAGGGAGAGGGAGAGTGAGAATCCCAAGCAGACACTGCACTGAATGTGCAGAGTCACCCCCACGTGACACGGGGCTCGATTTCATGACCCTAAGATCATGACCTGAGCTTAAATCAAGAGTCATATGTTTAACCGACTAAGCTACCCATGTGCCCCACAATCCATTTATTATTTAAGAAAAGTTCAGTCAGATCATTAATACGGGTCTATGACCTTCTAAATATTACAAATATTAATCAAATAATGCACTCCAATGGTAACTGCCATCTATCAGAAGCTAGATAGCTATCTAGTATTTTTGAATCTACTATTTCCAGGGGTGCCTCGGTGGCTGAGTTGGTTAAGCGTCTGACTTTGGCTCAGGTCATGATCCCAGGGCCCTTGGATTGAGTCCCACATCGGCCTCCCTGTTCAGTGGGGAATCTGCTTCTCCCTTTCCCTCCGCTACATTCTCTCTCTCTCTCTGTCAAATAAATAAATAAATAAATAAAATCTAAAAAAAGAATATACCATTTACAAAAAAATCACTTCTTAAAAGAAAAAATAACATTTTATTTTAGGTATGTGACATTCTTTTGCTTTCTGATAGCTAGAATTATACAGAATTGCTTATTTTTTAAATATTTTAGAAGATATTAACATCCTCTTGGTGTTTATTATTTCTTTTAAACACTGTAACACTTGTTATTTTACGTTACTAATTATACTCCCAACGGCAAAAACTGTCAAATGAACTCCACCACTGTGCTTACCATTACAGACAATTGTTGGGAGAATGACAATTATTCCTAGTGAAATAATCCAAGTGGCAATTTTTTAAATGACCATTTAAGAAATAGACCTATAAATCTTTGAAGATGTATCTGGATAAGAGGAAGCATAGCAAATGGAAATTTAATATGCTTTATTTGAAAAGAACTAAAATAAATGTAACTTCATTTCATTTATAAAGAGATATAGAAGTGCTTTATTTGAATTTCTAATTATGTAAGAGTCTTTCTCCAGTTGTCTCCCTAAAAAATGATTATCATTAATCTATGTCTACATTTAAAGTGCTTAAAGAAGGTGCCATTCAATTCCTTTTCACTCAATTCACATAATTAATTTTAGCAGCAATAGTCTTAAATAGACATATATACAATTAACTTTTGAAGCTAAGATTTGGCCCCCAAATGTGAAAGGTCACTTTGAAGAGAATACTTATATGCTGTACTTCAGTCCTGGATTGTGCAAAATTGACAATAAATTTACAGTAATTTCCTTAGCCATCCAGTGGGAGGAGGGTAGGATCTCTATCTAGTCTTACTGCCCTTACCTGTGTTACTAGCATCTTGATTCCAAGCAATTATTGAATGTCAGTTATGTTCAGACACTAGCTTAAAAACAAATGCCAAAAATAAAAAGACCCAGATCTTGCCTCCTCTGGTGGGGGACACACTATCATTCTGTGTGACATTACAATATTAAAAGCATGGACCCTGTACAAAGGCAAGATCAAGTAACTTAAAGAAGTAGAGACCAGGAAAGGTTTCATAGAGGAGGTAATTCTCAAGCAAGATGGCATAATGATAATGATTAAAAAAGAGGTGCTGAAGTGAAGGTGGAGAAGGATCAATCCAAGTGCAGAAAATAGCATGGTCATACTTATAAAGAATATTTCAGGGGCACTTGGCTGGCTCAGTTGGGAGAGCATGTGACTCTTGATCTTAAGGTCGTGAGTTTGAGTCTCACGTCGAGTGTAAAGATTACTAAAAAAATAAGTAAACTTAAAAATAGTACACCCATTATATTAACATATTAAAAAAAGAATATGTCATGAACCTTTGGAAGAACTATTAAGCACGAAGCAAAATAAAGCTTTTAACAACCTATTGATTCTGGTTGGAAGTGGGTAAGTAGATTGAAAGCAATGCTTTTGATATCTTCTAGCATATGCCAGTAAACAAGGTCAATTTTTACCATTTTGAAATGAATACACAGTTTAGTGGATCACGATTGTTTTCCTTGATTGTCAATCAATATACTATTTGAGGAAAAAATATGTTAGACTATGGGATAGAGTCAGAACTACTACAAACAAGAAACTCATATGTATATTTATACTTCCTGAGCTTAGCTGATAGAACACAAAGGAATGTAAGACTACATGAGAAATATTTTAAGCTTCTTTCCTTATATTATTATTTTTTTGCTTTGTTTCGGCCATGTATCCATTTTGTAGTTTGGGTAAATACTCTTAAACTGCATTATCATATCTACTAAATTGTGAGCTTCTTGCACAGAAGGATTACTCATGTTTATGCCTTCTGCAAGAAGTTATCACACTACCTCATATATAATTGGTGTTCATCAACTGTTTATTCAACTGAATTTTTTGCTTTTCTAATACAATACATAGTCTGCTCTTTTGTCGATGCAGAAAACTGTTAAATCTATCTCTCTCTATATATAGCTATTGTAGTATATTTTAAAGCTCTTAAAGTACAGTATAATAGCACTTTCATAAAAGATGGATTTAATAGCTTTATACTGTCTCTTGGGTGCATTAGAACATGGTGTGTATGGGTGTGTGCACACACATAATAGTTCTTTAAATTCAGAAAAGAGAACCTATTTCACAGAGGTTAAAGGGAAACATACAATATCAACAGCATTTACTTTTTTTATCAATTAAACCTTACTATAGTAAATTTAAGAACAGTTTTTCATTGTAAAATATTTGATATGTAATCTTAATTGTAATGCACTGTAATTTTATTTTTTTACTTTTGTATGCACTAATATTATTTAGCTAATTATGTTTGTGCTGGGTTCATATTTCCACTTGCACAGCCCTCTTTTCTACCAGAAAGATCAAACATCAATAGGGACATTATTTTAATTTTTACCCCACATTTACCCTTATAATAGGATCAAAAGTTATTCATCTATCCCTGTTCATAATCCCTATAGTCTCAAAAAAGCAAACATTTAACCATTTTGAGTATTTTTGTGTGTGGTGTAAGGAAATGGTCCAGTTTCATTCTTCTGCATGTGGCTGTCCAATTTTCCCAACACCATTTGTTGAAGAAACTGTCTTTTTTCCACTGGACATTCTTTTCCCGCTTTGTCGAAGATTACTTGACCATAGAGTTAAGGGTCCATTTCTGGGCTCTCTATTCTGTTCCATTGATCTATGTGTCTGTTTTTGTGCCAGTACCATACTGTCTTGATGATTACAGATTTGTAACAAAGCTTGAAGTCCAGAATTGTGATGCTGCCAGCTTTGCTTTTCTTTTTCAACATTCCTCTGGTTATTCAGGGTCTTTTCTAGTTCCATACAAATTTTAGGATTATTTGTTCCATTTCTTTGAAAAAAGTGGATGATATTTTGATAGGGATTGCATTAAATGTGTAGATTGGTCTAGGTAGCATTGACATCTTCACAATATTTGTTCTTCCAATCCATGAGCATGGAACGTTTTTCCATTTCTTTGTGTCTTCCTCAATTTCTTTCATGAGTATTTTATAGTTTTCTGAGTACAGATTCTTTACCTCTTTGGTGAGATTGATTCCTAGGTATCTTATGGTTTTGGGTGCAATTGTAAATGGGATCGACTCCTTAATTTCTCTTTCTTCTGTCTTGTTGGTGTATAGGAATGCCACTGATTTCTGTGCACTGATTTTATATCCTGCCACTTTACTGAATTCCTGTATGAGTTCTAGCAATTTTGGGGTGGAGTCTTTTGGGTTTTTCACATAAAGGATCATGTGTGTGATCTCAAAGATGAGAGTTTGACTTCCTCTTTGCTGATTCGGATGCCTTTTATTTTTTTTGTTGTTGTTGTTGTCTGATTGCTGTGGCTAGGACTTCTAATACTATGTTGAATAGCAGTGGTGATAGTGGACATCCCTGCTGTGTTCCTGACCTTAGGGGGAAAGTCCTCAGTTTTTCCCCATTGAGAATGATATTTGCTGTGGGTTTTTTGAAAGACCTAAATGTGAGACAGGAGTCCATCAAAATCCTAAAGGAGAACATAGGCAGCAACCTCTTCGACCTTAGCCACAGCAACTTCTTCCTAGAAACATTGCCAAGGGCAAGGGAAGCAAGGGTAAAAATGAACTATTGGGACTTCAAGATAAAAAGCTTTTGCACAGTAAAAGAAACATTCAACTAAACAAAAAGACAGAATGGGAGAAGATATTTGCAAATGACATATCAGATAAAGGGCTAGCATCCAAAATCTATAAAGAACTTCTTAAACACCCAAAGAACAAATGATCCAATCAAGAAATAGGCAGAAGACATGAACAGACATTTTTCTAAAGAGACATCCAAATGGCCAACAGACACATGAAAAAATGCTCAACATCGCTCGGCATCAGGGAAATCCAAATCAAAACCTCAATGAGATACCACCCCATACCAGTCAGAATGGCTAAAATTTAACAAGTCAGGAAATGACAGATGTTGGCGGGGATGCGGAGAAAGGGGAACCTTCCTACACTGTTGGTGGGAATGCAAGCTGGTGCAACCACTCTGGAAAACAGTATGGAGGTTCCTCAAAAAGTTGAAAATAGAGTTGCCCTACGACCGAGCAATTGCACTACTGGGTATTTACCCCAAAGATACAAATGTAGGGATCCGAAGGGGTACATGCACCCCAATGTTTATAGCAGCAATGTCCATAATAGCCAAACTGTGGAAAGAGCCAAGATGTCCATCGACAGATGAATGGATAAAGAAGATGTGGTATATATACACAATGGAATATTATGCAGCCATCAAAAGGAATGAGATCTTGCCATTTGCAATGACGTGGATGGAACTGGAGGGTGTTATGCTGAGCGAAATAAGTCAATCAGAGAAAGACATGTATCAGATGACCTCAATGATATGAGGAATTCTTAATTTCAGGAAACAAACTGAGGGTTGCTGGAGTGGTGGGGGGTGGGAGGGATGGGGTGGCTGGGTGATAGACATTGGGGAGGGTATGTGCTGTGGTGAGCACTGTGAATTGTGTAAGACTGTTGAATCATAGACCTGTACCTCTGAAACGAATAATACATTATATGTTAAAAAAAAAAAAAAGAAGAAGAAGAAGAAGATAGCAGGAGGGGAAGAATGAAGGGAGGGAAATCGGAGGGGGAGACGAACCATGAGAGACTATGGACTCTGAGAAACAAACTGAGTGTTCTGGAGTGGAGGGGGCTGGGGGGATGGATTAGCCTGGTAACGGGTATTAAAGAGGGCATGTTCTGAATGGAGCACTGGGTATTATACGCAAGCAATGAATCATGGAACACTACATCAAAAACTAAAGATTAATGCATGGTGATTAACATAACATAATTTAAAAAATGAGAGAAAAAAGCAAACATTTAAAATTTACTCAAAATTAAAATTTTTAAAAAATCATTACATTAAGTCCATTAATTCCCTTTTCCCTTAGAAAATTCAAAGCCATCAGGAAAAAAAAATCTTTTTTAAAGTTTTTATTTAAATTCCAGTTAACATATACAGTGTAATATTAGTGTACAGGTGTACAATATAGTGATTCAATATTTCCATACAACACTACACCCAGTACTCATCACAAGTGCACTCCTCAACCCCCATTACCTTTTCACCCCTCCCCCCTACCACCTCCCCTCTGGTTTCCTTCAGTTTGTGCTCTAGAGTTAAGAGTCTGTTTCTTGGTTGCCTCTCTCTTTCTTTTCCCTTTCCCCATTTGTTTTTATTTCTCAAATTCCACATATGAATGAGATCATATGGTATTTGTCTTTCTCTGATGGACTTATGTCTCTTAACCTAATACTCTCTAACTCTATCCATGTCGTTGCAAATGGCAAGATTTCATTCTTTAGGGAAAAAAATCTTTCTGTCTTACAAAAATTTTTAAGTATCAACATATATTAGAATATACTTTCTCTCTGAAATATTATTAGAATAATCTTCCATTCTGCTTGGGCTTAAAACTATGGTCAGATTCATATGCCTATTTGGAGCTTTTGGAGCTAAATCTCTTTTTCTGCAGTCAGAGTTGCAGAAGTTGCAAAAATATAAAATTCATTAAATATCCCACCTTTTCAAAGTTCCAAGAAATTATCAAAACACATAAGGCTATCATAATAGTAACACTATACCAAGCACAACTAGAAAATGCAAAGATATCTCACAACTAAATAAGACCTTTGCTTCCAATTTTATGTGAAATATCATGCTTCCCCAAAATGTTACAATATTGACTCAGACTGCTGTAAAACCCATAACTCTTACCTAAAAATTAGGGTTGCGAAAAATGAGGAGTTCATTCAGAAAACTGAGGAGAATAAACTTCTTAAAATTCAGCTAATTCATGACAGTTGTTAAGACTCTAACACATATAAAATTAATTAGAAGAATTATACCATCAGGTCATAGTTTGTTAAGCAAACATTCCCATGTCATGTATAATATACACACAAATATATATGTGACATGGGAATATAATGGGAACATAATGTATATATGTATATATATTCCATTCATTTTAATATTTATAAAAGCCAAATTATATACAAAATGTGAGCTATTGTTCTCATTATGTCATTTTCTCTTTCAAATATAGAAATAAGTTTATTCTCCAAAATAAGCAGTTCTTTTCATAAAAATGTTTTCCTTAAAGAGCAAAATTGTATCTCAGAACAATAAATGAAATGTTTTCTCATTCTTTCTAGATTACCACTACTTGTTTTATTTAGGACATTAACATGAAAA